GACAACAAATAGGGATGAGAACCCAACTTGTGTGATTGGAGATCCAATGAAGCAAGTTCATATGGGTAATAACAAGTCTTCTGTTTGTTCTGCTAGCCTGGTAAAATGTCCATTTCTATGGTGTGGAAGGGCTAGACTGCATTTTTTTGTGAGGTTGAGCTAAAGCTCTTAATGATTGTCATATCCCATATGGGTGGTGTGTTAAGTGCAGGACACACTTGATGAGGTCACCTATATGAGTGTGAGGTGGGGCCGCCTCTATGAAGCATTGACAATGCATCTAGAGCACTCAAGAAAACCAAGCACGCGCATGGCCTAGAGGCGCACAACGGCGTTAACGACGAGAAAGGTGGGGATGAAAAATGATCCACTAAGACACTGACTTACCAAAGTAGATTATTGGTTCATAGAAACTATACGTTTCACCAATAAACTCGGTATTTAAAGACTTAGGCGTCTAGGTCTGGTTCAAGTCTAAGAACACCAGATTGAAAAACCTCACCCCATATATGAAACCCAGTAAGGAATTACTATTTTTAAACACATAAAAATTATTCATTTGAAATATGTGGGGGATTGTTGGAAATATAATTGTATTTCAAATGAATAACATATTACATTTTTTTATGAGAAAAGTTTTGAAAACTTTAAAGACCTTTTATCCTCTCTTATATGATATTATTATTGTAATCAATTCTACAAATTACATATTCTCATACGTTATGATAAATATTAATTAATGATTGTTCTTTGAACATGTCCAAATGATAATGTTAATCATTTACTATGACTATTCAATCACTTTGGGAAGTTTCATACGTTGTCAAAAAAGGATGACACCCCATCCCCGAGGGCCCCCCAACACCGACCGGACGACACGATGGGAGGATGTAAATTGGACTATAATCACAATCTGACAGATAGAGAGTGGGGCTCTGTCCCCGGTACTTACAGAGGCCCTATGCATTTTTCAGCATGCATGTTTCATACTTTGTCAATTATTATTATTATTTGATCTCCTTTATTATGGAGCAATTATTATCTCTTGGTTGAAGATCAGACTATAAAACCCATGCGTGCCTGGATATTTCAATGTGAGATTTCTTTGGTAACTATATGTATGATTGAAAAGTACCAGTGAAAGATGAACCATACGAAGTACATATACATTATAAGTATTAGCTATAGTTATGTCGTATGTATGGCTTTTGGGGTGGAACAATTACTTGAGAAAGTGTACATTTTAGCTACTGGAAATATACCATGAATTACACTTTAATTTTATTACTGGGTTCATATATTGTTTTCTTCTCGTTAGTTCTGGTACCGGTTTTATAACCGAAGGGCTCGTTATATCTTGGGGGAAATTTCCGTACGCCGAAAATAATTCCTTAGGACAGCGTCTGACGCGTCTCGAGCCAGTAATGTATTTTAGTTGTTTTTAGTGATTATTCTGCAGGTCAATTCTCGGAGCTAGATGGTCAACCAGGTCAACTTAGGAGCGACACGGTAAACACGTTGACTTTGGAAGGATAGAGCCTACGATTGTTACAGCCAAGCTCAGTCTCTTTTGATTTGAATTTCTGCAATGGCTGCTGTTGCTTTCTTCTTCGTATGCTCCTTATTCTGCTTCTTCACTTCATCATCTCCTATGCCTCTCATATCATTGTCTTGGGGATGAATTACTGTGATATCTGCTTTAATAATTCCTTCTCCCCACCCAACTACTTCATGTCAGGCCCAGTCTCTTTTGATTTGAATTTCTACAATGGATGCTGATGTTTACTTCTTCGCCTGCTCCTTCTACTTCTTCACTTCATCATCTCCTATGCCTCTCCATGGCACCCACAGCCATGGGCGGAGCTAGGGGTACCTAGGCCATGACCCATTCCAAATTTAAAAAATGACGTAATTATTAAGGTAAAAAATTTCAAGTAAATTTTTTTCTAAAAATATTCTTTGTACCGGTCCAGTCTGGCCCAGTGCCCTGGGTCCGTCCCTTCCCACGGCAGTGATCCTCATATCATTGTCATGGGGATGGTTTACTGTGATATCTGCTCTAATAATTCCTTCTCCTCGCATAGTTACTTCATGCCAGGTATCACTCGCCTCCCAGAAAATATTCATCAAATTTCCTTTACTTGAGGTTTTCCTCCATGTTCTTCTTCTCCGTGGCCTTTTACATGTTCTGAATAGACCGAGACAGTGTCTACATGGTATGTAGCAATGAGCTTCAGATAAAAAATATACGAGTAAGATGATATAGAAATCTTCATCTATGGAATGAGAATGTTAAGGATAGAAAGAAGGTAGCATGAAAACGGTAAAGAAATACAGAGTACGCAAGATATGTAAGAGCATCACCAATGGTAGAATGTGCACGGTGCACATGTGGCATAAGAGATGACCACATAAATATTAGCAAATAAATTATCTCTCTCCTTATTTGAATGATTTTATATAATTTTGATATGTTTTTTCCTGCAATGTCAACTGCAATGTCAAATATAGACGGTCTTCTTGACATTGTGGAGAAAAACTTACCAAAAATGAAAAAAATCATTCAAATAAGGAGATAAATAATTTATTTTCTAGTAGTTATGTGGTTATCTCTCATGCCACATGTGCACCGTACACATTCTACCATTGAAGATGCTCTAATAATCGTTTTCAAATCTTGACATATATTTCAATTTCCTAGTCTTTTTACATAATAGAAATAGTAACAAAGAATGGTAAATAAAACAAGTTTGCAAAAATGTGTAAATATATCTAAACGGGAAAACCGAACTACTCATTATAATTGAACATAAGTTGTCGTGTTACTGATTAGCACAAACCTCATTCAATAGAGGAAGTTGGATAAACCATAGGAATTGGGGTTGCAACTTGCAATCACCATTACTATTATTTTCCATCATTTGCAATGAAGTCAAAGACTCACTAATTTTTGACTTGGGAATATGATGAAATACAGAAAAACGACTCACTGAACCGTTGTTATGAAGTAACAGTCAGTCTATGTAATTTTCGACACGATTTTCACTACGGGTCATTCAGAAAAAATCTCTCCGTACTTTAGTACGGGAGTAAGGCTATGTACATCCGACCCCCGACCCCACCGTATGGGAGCCTTTGCGGCACTAGGGTAATGATGAAGAATAAGAAAAATAAAAATTGTTACGGCTGATAATGATGATGACAGTGATATTATTTAATCATAAATAATAGGTGTGGAAGTGAGAATAGACTGCACCTATAAAGTGAGTTCACCAAAAACAACAGAGCAAATAGAATTCTCGGTGAACAACGCGACAAAGAGGTTAGGGAAATACATGCTGGAGATACCTACAGTCAGGGGCGGACATGATGTTGTTCAAAGGTGTTCACCTGAACACCCAAAAATTTCAAATTTTTATATCAAAAACCGCCTTCCGTCGTTTCTACGCAAACCTCACCTGCGTTGCAGAAGCTACTGAACACCCACAGCCGACTAACAACTCGCAGAGTCGCAACTCACTCCTCCTTCAAATCACCAGTTTGTCACAGTGTCGCTAGTCACTATAAGCTCGGTAGGCAGGGAACAGTTGACTCGGTGTTTCAGCTTCTGGCTCTTGAGTCTTGTTGAGTATAGTAGCTAATGACCTCGCTGGCTTGCTCCTCACACCCGCCTCTAGAATCCGGATCCCTTCCTCTGCTCTACCAGTCCACCGCCTCCAATAGTAGCCTCGTGACCTCCTTGTCTACTAAGGCACTAATTAAAACCTAATTTTCTTTACCTAATCTAAAATTCGCACCATCGTTTTTCTTCTACTGCTAGCCTTTTGCTAAATGGTTAATTGAAATTTCAGATTGAGAAAACATTGGGATTTGGGACCTGGAAATATTGGTTAGGTTGTTAGTGCCTTAGCCCTTATTGGTTTGACGGTGAGTTTTTTGGTTTAACTGGTTGATGTGGATTCTCCTTAATTTGTTGGTGGCGGACCTCATAGTATATTTATTTTCTTTTTTGGTGTGGCTGTGTCAACCACACAGGCTGTGTGGTTCTGTGTTTAGTTTTTTTGCGAAAATGATAATTCAATTGTAACATTATTGCATTACACAAGATTGTTGTGATAGTTCAAATTTTATTTCAGTTTTGAACACCTAAAATAAAAGAGCTAGATCCACCACTGCCCTGCCTACAGGAGATGGGAATCATGGAATTGAGTGTACAAGAGAGAAATCGAAAGGAAACTTTGGCCAGGCTAGCCTAATAGTGCAGAAAGGCCCATCATCATCACCATCAACTGCCTATAACTACCAGTCTACCATTGCCAATACTTGTATCCACAGCCTCATTGCTTTGACATTCAGACCCGCCATTATATTAGGAATGCTACTCTCTGTGGGTCTTCCATTATATTAGGAGTCGCATATGTGTGTCCTACCTTCAATGTCATAATGCCATACTTAGTGTGTCAACATGGTTTCAATTCTCTCTAAATGTACTCTCACATTAATAGACTAGAGAATTTAAGAATTTAAATTCAGAATTTGCATGGTTGCACACTTGCACCCCAAGCATGCAGAAACTTATCTAATTCAGAATGACCAAAACATTTGGTTTAACTAACATGAAGGATGAATAAGATTATCACGGGCATTGTTACCCTCACACACAATGACTGCTATAGTCCCGGAGGGAAGGAGCATATAGCTCCAGTTGGAGTAGGGAAAGGTGGGGGCATAGTGGCACACATGTTTCACATCCTTTCAGCTTTGATTCCCGCATCCCGTCTCCAACGCACGTCCTCAGTCACTAAATTAATCCTGTCTAGACTCTGAAACCATAACAGGAACTGACCGGTTTGAATCCTGTCCAAGGATATGACACTTTGGTACAAAAAGTGTATGTGGCACCCCTCAACCTTGAGCCTTTTAACCATAACCACAATCGAATCAATTTATTTTATTTGGTATATTCTGTGAGCATAAAAAGTGATGAAGAAACAAAGGAACCAACACAAGGAATACACCAATCAATTGAACTAGCAATAACATTAAAGTAATGTGAAGTATGTTTGTTAGTTCTCGCTGGGAGGAGGTACCAAAATAAATATGGTAATGTCACTGAGTTGTAATAATAATAGTATATGTAATAAAAAGTGTTTCTCCCTAAGCAAGCCACCTGCCACACTGTCACTTAACCACAAATTAAATCCTTAACCACTTTTAGCATCCAGATTTTAACATTGCTTGAAACAAAGTGATTTGTGTGGAACCCAAGATATATAAATAAAAACCATCATCATGCCTGCCCGCACTTGCTTAAGCAGCCAACTCCTTCCTCCAAATAGTCTTGTCTATTGATCCAAAACTCAGGTGCATCCTGCACAAATGCCAAATCATCCTTTTTCTGTTGTCCTTCAAAATAACTAACCTACCTAGTCAAGAAGGATTAAGGGGGTGGGGAATCTGGTCCCCAATGTTTGCACCCAAGTTCGCTCCTTTTTTACATGTAAACCTTTTGCTATACAACTTTATATAAGTGAAGTATTTCCCAGCCCACCCTTGCTCCGTTTAATAAACTTTCATATAGCCTACAGTCAGGTATTGCTTTGGGGAAGGGAGGGATGAGGCCCACGCCCAGATGAGTTAATACACAGTCTTTCCTAATTAAAAAACACGATATTTTAGCTGAACGCAGAAAGCAATAAGCTTAACATGGGTTGGAGTGGTACTATATAAATAATTAAATATACAATTAGTTTTGTTGTACCAGGAAAACCACTGTGATTTCACGGCTAGTGAAGAAAATGCGATTACCTTCATAATTCCTGCTAGAACTGCACCTCCAAGATACACCATGTGTTTTCTTCTTGGTGGATCTTCTACCCTTAATCGCAGTTTCTGCATAAACATTTGTTTGTCTGATTCAATAGGAGTACCACCGAAAAAATCACTTTTGTCTATAGATCACTAATAGACCAATACCTTTAATCCATCCTTGTTTCCTTTCAAAACCACTTCAAGATAGCGATCTAAAATCTCCTTCTCTAAGCTAAGCTTCGAGCAGGGGGGATACTTGTTAATAGATAAAAGAAAATATCTAATAGTAATCAGGTTGAATGAAGCTAAAAGCCTCAAACACTTACCGCCAGTAGTCAATTTGGATGAAGGTTTTTCGAGGGCTAACTCTATATATGGATAAATACATACATACAAATTCACACGCTGACACACATACATATTCCAGATCTAATAAATCTGAAGACAAAACATGTGATCATCTAACATTTCTCACCCTTCGTTCATTTTCAGAAGCCCCGACTAATTTCTCTAAATCCCTTTATCTAAAGTAGCTCTTAGGCTATGTTAGGAACTCGGAAAATGGTTGGGACGAAGGGGGGCAAGGGATAACATAAAAAGGAAAATCTAAATCAAATAGAACCTTGTAAAAATTCTTTTTTTAGATCTCTATGACTTTAAATAATAAAACTATTAAAATAGATTGAGCTTGCACAAATATCTATAATTGATTTGTGGAATTTGAAGCATTTTTTATTTTTGTACCGATTTTCTCTCCTTCCAAATTTGCTCTCTCCGTATTTTCTTTCGCTAATGTTATTTAAATTCCAAACGGAACCTTGGAAAACCAGTCCAAAAACATCTAGATGCATTACCGACTAGGTAAGCCAGGATACATGGTACTCCCTCCACTTAGCACTATATGTTGGTAAAGCTGCATGGAGAAAGGAATTGCATTATTAAATAGGGGAAACTGTCTCCATAAAATGGCAATTCCATTTTCTATGAGCAAAAAATTAGGAAAAATTGAAAATAATAATCCCAACTATTGTTGGTCCGCTGATAATAATCTCAACTATTGATTATTTTTGTAAAACCCCAACTATATGGACCATCCGCCAATAATGGTCCATGACCAGATATTACCTCCTATAAAAAGTAAACTTTAAATAGAAATTAAGCGTAAAATTAAAAGTTGAGATTATTTATAGGGATTACTTGTTATATCTCTTCTCATCCACTTTAGAAACTACGAGAATTTATTTATAGGGACCATTATTGGCATAAGGTCCCTAAAGTTGGGATTATTCTGAAATAATTGATAGTTGGGATTATTATGGGCGGACCATCAATAGTTGGGATTATTACTATCAATTTTTCCAAAAAATTATTTACAAATTCTAGAATTTCGAGTTATATACCATCATTCTATTATCAATATCCATTTCCTGGATGCAACGAAATACCATGTCAGCCATTCCATCACCTTCAACATCAATGAGATCCTGCAAGAAAAATGAAATTTTTAGGCTCCTTTTTAGGGTTGGCAACGGGGCGGATCGGGGACGGTTTTACATATAACCGTACCCGGCCTGTTTGGTAATTCCCCAGCCCCATAACCGCCCCATTACCCAACGGGTAATTTTTACCCAAACCATAACCGCCCCAACGGGTAACGGTTATAACCGCGGGTAACCGCGGGTAATCACTTTATTAAATGAATCATTGATATTTTAATTAAAAAATAATATTTTAAAAGGCGAAAAATGGCATCACCTAGACGACGCTAGACTCAAACGCCACTTTAAAGCTTCATATATCTATACGACGAGAAAGAAGACAACCTAAATTAATTTGAACCTAAAAATACTTAATCTGAAAAATAATTAATCATGAAAAATCATAGAATAATCAAACAAGGCTATTAAGTTCTATTGAGAACTTTCATTCTTACACTATAGTTGGTACATCTATTATCCATATATACACAATGAACATTAAAAATCTCATCTTTTATTAGTTGTGGGACAAATAATAGATAAAAAAGTAATAAAAATATAACTAAAAATAAACGGGGCAGGTACGGGGCGGGTAATGGGGCGGGCATGCATAAAACCGTAACTGCCCCGTTACTCGTAAAAACAAAACGAGTATTCCCCGCCCCGTAGCCATTACCCGGTCAATGCGTTTTTCCCCATTTTGATAGGGGTGGTTCGGTGCGGGTATCCATCGGATCGGTCACAATTGCCATCTCTACTCCTTTTGGTTGCATTTTCTCCTCGCCTATTCTGCTTATTTGGCTAAAAAGCCGAACATGTATTACCTTTGACTTATTTATTTAGCTGATATTGATATACCAAACACTTTTCCTTTCATAAAATTAAGCCGGTTTAGCCACCACAGTCCAGCCAAATACTTCCTACCAAATGGGCCCTTAGTATCCACAAAACAGTATGCAGTCAAATGCTGGTTCCTCTACAGCATGAAGTGATGCAAGGAACGCTAGAAGTTTCATTTATGGGACCCTTCCAGCGGACACTGATGGACACTGTTGAGTCATGACACAGAACAAAGGACCATTTTCCACCAGTGGAAAATATGTGTGTGGTGTATGTATGTAGAAAAAACATGTAGTATGTAAATGTATATGTGTAAATAAAGAAAAAAAGTGGCTTCCTTTACCTTAAAAAGGATGAAAAGTTCAACACAGATAATGTAAAGAGTACTGGGTCAAAGTATTAAAGAGATACACACTGGTCTAAAAAGATTTGAGTTAGACTAGCTAATTGATTGAATTTAATATTTAGTATGGTTTGGCCAATGTAGTGGAGCGACCCCAACCCAATTAAGCATGCTATGTAGTATAAGTTAATGCCACATATAGTGAGCTTTATTATGTCACAACACGGAAAAAACGGAGTAACTACAAAATCCTGCACCTTTTCAGATGTCACCGGGATGCAGTATAAGTTCTACAAGACTACAACTTTGGTTTGGAACAATTAAAACAAAACACAAGTGTAAATTCTTACCGGGGTAAACAGAGCTTCAGGTGCTTGAAACCTCTCAGTGCCTACTTTGATTACCCTCCCATCTGGAAGCTGTTTAAAGCACCTCCATTACAAACCAGTAAAAAAATCCAGCACACAGATAATACAACAACAACAACATCCAAGTACTCCCAAAAGATTTTGGGATAGCACACAGGTAATATACAAAAGAATTTTATTAAAGAAAAATTTATGTTGCGCTACTATTTGCATAAAGATAAATGTACAAACTAAGAGAGCTCACTAAAGCATATCAAAATGCTCAAAATGGAATTTACTCACTGTATAATTCTTAACAAGGATAGTGGTCTCAAGGCCCAATTGATATTCTCGTTTATAATCATAACTGCAGTAAAATAATTGTTAACCTTTCAGCAGAAACCAAGAGGATTAGAAAAGATGAGCCCATCTGATATGACAAGAGTCAATTCACCTAATGTAGCAAAGCTTTTCTTTTATATCCCTGACAGTCTCAAAATCAGCGCTTCTACTCATTGCATACCTTCAAAAAAAACTTGTGATATTATATCAACTTAGAAGCACCATTTGAAAAAGAAATGCATCAATTTGTTTTACCCTCTGCGGAACAGCAAATCAACTAGATAAGAAGTTATATGACGTCCAGCTACATTCATTCTTTTTGTGAGGTGAGGAAATGAGTAACCATCTACAACTGGAACCTGCACCAAAAAGCATCATACAAGCAGGCTAACAAAAAAACATTATTTATTACATTTATAAAAGGCTCTTGCGAAGAGTCAAATATATTGTGTCAAAGGCGTGATTATGATAATTTACCACATGAGTAACACCGTCACCAGAATCTATGACTAATCCGGTTAGTAAACCTGTATTTGTGAAAACACTGGATGTTAATAATCACACCGTTTATAAAATTGTAATTTAACAGATACATTAAAAGAAGGGCTAACTTAGTGGCTATAATCAAACCATCAAACTTAATTCATAAAATTTTAAAACATATCGATATGTTTTCTCTCAGTTTTCTCCCCTAGCAGTTCTAGGGTTTTGATGGTGATCATATTGCACACACTTTGGACGATCAATCTTTGTTAGAATACTGTATTATGGCTTCAAACCACACATCCTTTGAAGATTTGTACGCCCATATGTCTATCGAGGAAGAAGAAAACAAGAGTCTGGACTGGGGCTGGAAGGGACGAAAGAGATCCCATAAAATTTGCATCTGTCGGTAGTGAGTAGACTCCTATCGGGCAAACCAGTTAAATTCATTCACTTCTGAGATACCGTGGCAGACTTATAGAGACCGTCTCGAGGGGTTATGAACTTATGATCAAGAACATTGGCGAGCAGCGATTCTTATTTCAGTTCTATCATGAGTTTGATGTTCATCGCATCATATCAGAGGGTCCATGGTTGTTTGACAGACATTTGTTAATTCTACACTGGCTCAAACCTATGGAAAATCCAATGGAGGATCAACTGACAAAGACTGAATTCTGGATCTAGGTCCATCATAATTTACCTATGATCTCGGTGGCGGAGAAGGTCACTAAGATGGTAGGCAATGCACTGGGTGAAGAAAACGTTACTGGAACGTCGTACGTGGCAGGCATTTATGAGGATTTGAGTCCTTCTCGGTGTAGAGCAACCTTGAAGGAGACGAATGAAGCTCAAGAGAGGCAAGGAATGAGAATGGGCGGATTTCAAGTATGAGAGACTGCCGATCTGTTTTGTTTGTGGCAGAATAGGCCATATGGACCGCTTTTGTCCAACACATTTTGAGGGATATCAGGAGGGACGTGAAAAACCTTACTGGTTCTGGATAAAGACGAAGTGAAGTTAGGGGGGAGTCACAGGGGGTTCTCTGGAAACCGAGAGAGTAGTGGGGACAGAAGAAGTGGAAAGAGACTCTTACAGGAAGAATGAAATGTATTCTGGTGTGGGAGGGGGGGAAAGGGATGGGAGCTGGGGGTTTTCGAGCGGGGATCTGAGGGGGGGCGAATGTGGCGGCTCTGGGGAGCTCATGAGGTGAACTTGAGATGAGGGAGGAAGCTCAAATTGCGGTATGGGTAAACGAAGGAGGCTGTAGGCTGTAGGCTGTAGGCTATGAGTTGCATGAGTTGGAACTATTGAGGTCTTGGCAACCTTTTGACAGTTCAGGTTTTGGTGGATATTGTCCGCTCTAAGAGGCCGACCATAATTTTTCTTATGGAAACTTTTCATCATCAAGTAGGATTCAGGAGATTCGGAGGCGGCTTGGTTTTGATCAAGCTTTTTCAGTTGATTGTGAGGGGCATTTGGCATCGTAGAGGTGGCACTTTTGTGGACAAGGGAGGTACATTTATTAGTGACAAGCTCTTCACACAACTACATTAACGCCCAAGTCAAGTTGGAAGTGGATGAGGCTTGGTGGCAATTCACGGGTTTGTGTTGTTATCCCGAATGACGTAAGCGGATGGATTCTTGGAGGTTGCTGCAACAACTAAGTGAGGTATCTACTTTACCCTGACTTGTCATGGGTGACTTTAATGACCTTATGTTTGCAGGGGAGAAAAGAGGGTCGGTTCCCCGCCCAGAATGGTTGCTTCAGGCCTTTCGAGAGGTAGTTTGGGCTTGCGGTTAAAAAACTTCCTGTTTGAGTGGAATTCAGTTGGGAAAGATGGCGAGGTTCTCCTAGGTGGGTTGAGGAAAAATTGGACAGCATTTTCGTGTCAGAAGAGTGGAGGGTTCGGAGGTGCAGTTGCGATGTCACTGGGGGGGCTCCTAGTGACCATCTCCATTTATTTCTGAAAGGGTGGATACGCGCAGAAAATTTAAATTTGAAAACACCTGGCTTTGGGAGGAAGAGTGCAGGGAGGTTGTGGAAAGAAGTTGGGGTCTGGGGAGGAATTTAGGGGTGGATTCTCAACTGGAGCTGTGTGCTAAAGAGGTGGGGAGGTGGGGGACTAATCGAGTAGGGGGTGGCCGATGCCCGATGTGTGGCAGTAATCTTGGAAATTTTGAAAGGGTGAAGAGTGAGTACCTTGTACTACTTGAAAAGCAAAATTGCTTTTGGAGAAAAACGGAAAAAGAATTTTGGTTGAAAAATGGAGATGTAACTCGAAGTTTTTCACAATTCAGTCCATCAAAGAAGGAGAAATTGTTTGGAGGGTCTTCGTGTAGGGGGTGGCCGATGCCCGATGGGTTAAAGATAAAAGAGGAGGTGGGGTCTGTGATTGGGGAGTATTTTTCTAACCTGTTTTCTTCTTTTCAAGGAGTTATGGAACCTGTTCTGTGTGAAGTGGAGCAAAAGGTTACGGACCAGATGAACTTGGACCTTTTGCGGCTTGTTCCACATGCATCCGGATAAGTCCCTAGGCCCGGATGGAATGAGCCCGGGTTTCTTCTAGCACTTCTGGGAAATGGTTGAACAGGACGTGGTCAGTTTCTGCAGGTTAGGTTTAGACTCAAGGAGGCTGCCAGAGAGAAATCTTGCCATATAGATTTCGAAAAAAGAAAATCCAGAAATTCTAGCAAATTGGAGACCGATTTCTATGTATAATGTGGCTTGTAAGATCTTCTTTAAGGTCTTGGCTAACAAGATGAAATCTACTCTTGAGCGTTCGATTGTTGATACTATTATGGTAGCGTTTGAAACTCATCACTTCTTGAAGAGGAAGAGGCAAGGAAAAAAGGATTTCGTGCCATGGAAGCTGGACATGAGACAGGCATACGACTAGGTGGAATGGATTTTTTTGGAAGGAATGTCGATAAATGGATTTCCTTGATGATGGAATGTGTCAGACAGTCAGCTACTCTATTCCTTTCAAGGATACTGAAATTGGGCTGATAATTCCTCATTGCGGACTTAGACAAGAAGATCCGTTATCCCCTTATTTGTTTATTGTTGTTGCTGAGGGCCAAAGCCTGCTTTTACGAAGACAGGGTTGAGGGGGAGATTCAAGGAGTTGCTGTTGCAAGAAACGCCCCCGGGTTTCCAAATTACAGTTCACAGATGACGCTCTTCTGTTTTTCTAGGTGGCTCATGGGGATTGCTCGGCAGTGAAGGAGGCTTTGCACGAGTATGAACAAGCTACTGGGGAGGTTATAAACTTTGCAAAATCTATGATTGGCTTCAGCGGAAATGTGGCAGAAGGTTATAGAGAGGGTGTGGCTGAGGTTTTTAGGATCGAGCCGTTTGCCCGTTTATGGTGGACGCGAAATGCCAGGGGCTGCCAGACGCTGATCTCAGGATTCGTACAACTATGTCGCAGACTCGCAGGGTCTTGAAGAGTTGACAATGGACGGACTAATGGCTGTGGGGGGGATCAGTGAGACTTAGATGTGGTGTCGGATATTTTAGAGGTTAGAGATAAAGATTTGGTGAAAAATATTCCTTTGAGCAATCGCCAAGTTCCCAATAAGATAATTTGGGCCTGGGAGGCTAGGGCAGGTTTTACTGTTAAAAGATGTTATCGAGCTCTGGTAGGCGAAGTAGCTGCAGCAGGCTGGGAAGGTTGGACGAGGATTTGGGGCCTGCATATACCTCCAAAGGTAAAAAAAAAAAAAAACGTTTTTGGCAACTGTGTGCAGGGCTTTTACCAACGGCTAAAAATCTGAGTAGGAGGTAGAAGTTCCCCTGGCATGCAGCTGGTGTAATGATCAGCAGCTCATTTGTTCAGCAGTTGCAATCAAGCAAAGGGAAGTGTGGGGCAGATTAGGGTGGGGAGTGGGCTTGATAGATGGTGACTCGTTTTTTAGGTGGGTTGAGCACAATTTCTAGGCCAAAAATGAGGACATATGGTGTGAGTTGGTGATGATCGTTGGGCAATTTGGAGAGATAGAAACCTGAAGGTGTGGGATGTTGGAGTCAACGGCTGAGCAGATTTGTTGGCAGACTGTCTGTTAGGAACCTGGTAATAATCTGAGCACAAACAGTAACAAGTAACACAGATCTGATAAAAGGATAGGGAAGATGATGTTTATTGATAGGAATAGTCTCAACTTAGGCAACAAAGGCAACCGGGACTCTTAGGCAACAAGGCAACATTCAATATCCAAATAACAGTATGCCTATTATGGCTACCCCAGCTTCTATTTATAGCAAAAGTCCACGCGGGGACTAAATAGACAACTAAATAAGCTATAGGCACTTAATAAGCTATTTAACTCCCCTAACTCCCTTATTTAAAACTACTAATTAGGCTGATGCCTAACATTACTCCCCCTCTAAATAACCACCTTGCCCTCAAGGTGGGTAATAAGACACAGCCTTGATCTTGAACTTCGTCTTCATCCTGGAACCTCTTCCTTCCCAGTACCTCCTTGGTTTCTGATCTAGGAGCTTCATTTCTTTCACTTTCATCATCACATCTTTCACAGCAAACAGGAGCAGAAACTGGGTATAAAAATTCCCTGGAATTACACTTGAAGCCTCTTCCTTGTAACCAATATCAGCATATAAAGGTTCCAGATCTTCATCATAATTCAGCAGTATCATATTCTGAGGAGTTTCATCTCTAAAGAGGTCACATAGCAAACAAACTATAACAAGGACACCCATCCGAGCTTGAACTGTTCTCTCAGTAGACCTCTTTAGGACTTCCATGAATACTGGATAAGAAGCTTCCCGGATCTCACATTTGGATATAGCAGAGAGGCCCCTGAGCAAGCTAATCACTTCTAGTCTTGTATTCAACTCATCTGTCTCCTTTTTGGATTGCATCATAGGAGAATTATAAGTGTAGACTGCCCATTGATAAGCTCCATAGAGATTTTTCATTCCATCCAGCAATTCTATAGCAACTTTGATGTTATTAACAACTTCTGTTTTTAAAGTTGATTCCATCAGGCGCTCGCTATTGAAGATATCATTTCCAGCTGC